CTTCAGAAGTTCCACCAAATTGTGTCCGATATCCTGGACGACAACGAGGGCGCGCTGGTTTATGGGACATGGGCTTCCCTCGAATTCGCCAGCACCGTCGCATCTTCACGCCGATACATCTTCGATGACGGCCCCGCATGTGCCGGAAGAGGGGGCGTGTTTGCGGTAGTATCGCGACTCTGGGACAGTGTAGGCAGAATAGGGTTGCGCTGGTGAATGTATTGTACTTCAGATGTCTCTAATCCTTCATGTCCCTCGCGCGTGTTGCGCCGCTCTGCCTGGTCACGACTGCCTCATACGAACGAGGCTTATGCGCCGATACCGGAATGTCCGACGCTGCCATTTGTATTGTACGCACGAACTTGCCGCAGGGTGACGGGAGGGGAAGTCGTCGACGATGGACGTGGACGCCCCACGGTATCGTCATGAACTCAGCATAGTTCACGCCCGAGTACCCGGAGGGTTAAGGTGCAGGAGCTCGAGAGGATGTCGTCGTTAAGCGTATGGGGCGCTGCGAAGTACAGCACGGCGAAATGATGGCCACTTCCATTTTGCCGTACCAGTGAGGTCAAGAAACATGGTATTCGCAATCAGATCAAGTACAACGGCGTAGATATGACCACAGTTACTATACAATCAGGGAAAGGCGCGGTCTGCTTCTAGCAGCGCAATGTTCTCGAGTATCACCCGGGCGGTGTCGGAGCAGTCCTGCGAACCACAGTCCGTCAGTACCCCAAGATTTGCGCTGTCGCACGTACGTACAGCGGTGAGATCCATACAGCTGACACGAAGCCTATCGTACCGTTCATAGCCTTTGACGAAGTAGTGAAGCGGCTTCTCCTCGCCCCCGACGGTCTCTATTAGCGAGGACGTGCGAGCGGTCTTGGCGATGAAGGTCTGGTGGGGAGATGAGTTTGCTATATTTGATAGAGGGACGTAGGGTCATACCGTGATGGCCCTGGTATTGTATGGTTGAAGGGTCTGATGGTCGCTCACAATACGGGAGTACTCGCAGTAACGTTCCAGCTCTACGAGGAACTCAGAGGCGGACAGGCGACGCTCCTCGCGCTCGTACCAGGCCGTCACTTGTTGTTCGCAAAGCCTCGAGCATTGTGTCCTGACAGATGGGCGAGCACAAAAAAGCTGCCCGAGATTCTCGAAATATGGAGCAAGCTCGTCCGTGAAGGATTCCACCCGCCAAGTCGATCGTTCTTCCAGCTGCTCCAAGCATGACGAAAATCCGCGCTGCAAGGGATCAGTAACGTTCACCCGGGATGTGCTCACTCACTACCTGCGTCATGAGGGACTCGAAGCAGTCCTGTCGCGCCGCTGCGCTGATCTCGATTGCCGACAGCGCACTAGACAGACCAAGGATCACAGCCTCTAACCCCTCCCGCGCAGAGTCTAGCTCCTTGCGGACGCCCTCACTCAAATCGATGAAGCACCCTTCAAACAAGAACGCAAACTATGCAAGTTTGAGCTTGTGCTCGGCCCTGCCGTAAACAAAAACAAAATTGCTCACGCGATACCAGAGGTCGCGAGCAGTTGATAAGGACTGGCGCGTTCCTTCTATCGCAGTTGACAGATCTTCGAGTAGATCCACTCCGGAAAGAGGGTATAGTCGCAGGAGGGAGTCGCGATAGATGTTGAGTTCGTTCCGCGCGCGAACGTGGAAAGCTTCGTTGCGGGCAAACAATCTTTGACCTACGGCCGTCGCCCACTCCGTATAGTTCGGCGGGAGGTTCAACTCTCTCTTGAGGCTGCATGGCAACGTCAGCGCATAATCTCTTGGGTGGAGGTGGGTACGCACTCGTTCATATCTTTGTCCAGGCGGTGGGCGGAGGAACAGATGGCATTAGACATGTTCGTGACAGCCATAGACGCAGTATCGATGTCCATGATGCGCGATATATCCAATGAGCGGAAGGGATCTGACGTAGCAGGGACGTACAAGACGAAGACGGTGGGGTCCGAGTGCCACTGAGAAGTTGGGATATTGCTCGAGGGTGCGCCAGAGCACGAGGCGGAACACGACTGAATGGTGAAAACAATGAAAGCCCAGAAAGACAACTTGACTTATGTCGCATATTCTACAGCAGGAGGGCAAGATTGTCCCGGCGGGCCCGTCGTCATTCAAGGCGGCGAAGTGGGCCTGCATATGGTGGCAGGCTGGGCCCTGGCGCCGGCAGTGAGTGCCAGGTCAATCTCAGAGCACGCGGATTGCCTTCCGCGACTTCAAGCACGAAAATAAGCCCCGAGCGATGGTATGACCATTCAGGTAGGAGGTAGAGAGAGGCAACGTGGATCAGGCTCACTGACAGGTAGCACTGGCCCAGATGGATGTTATTAGCCCAAGTGTGGTTCAAGTTAAACGTTGTGAGGGAGTCGGGGTGGCGCCACGCACCCTGCCCTACGCCCCGCGACTTCGGTCCGTACATGCCACTTTGGATCACTCCCACCCTTCCCCATCATGCATCACTCTCAACCGGTCCGGAACTCGTCTGCCAGTTGCAACGTCTTTGTCGTTGTGTGCACCGCGAACGCCCCTCCCTCTCTCATACTTAAGCAGTATGCGTCAGGCTTGGGACGATGCTACACACATACCGACGTACCCATTCACTGTCCCTAGCGTAGCCTGTCTCCTTCATGGCGCCCATCACTTACCGTGAACGTGCGTGATAGTTTCCTTTTTTCTCTTACGTTTCTTATTAGATTGGTTGCAGTCGTCCACAGCATTCTCGCAAGTATTGCGAAGGCCGGGCAGGAGTCTGTCGAATACGCTGTAATCGTTAACCGAGGTAAGAAATATCATCAGCGCGTCACAAGCAATTGAAGATGCCTAATGGATAGCTCAGTCGTCGCTGAGAAGCACACAAAGGGTCAACCATTGGCGACGAACCACCAGTATTTCATCCGACGCTCTCTCAACAACGAGGTGCGTACCTCCTCCTCATGGTGAAGAGTGCTGAGCTGACCGATCTCTGTGATCAAGGCCCAGGCCGGATGGCTGACATTCACCGGTGACACTCTGATCGCTTTCACGGCAGCGGGTACCATACAGTGAGTGTATACCTATCTTTGTATATGTCTACTCATACAAGATAATTCCTTAGCTATGTTAGCGTGGACGGGCGTTCGCAGATCGACGTAAGTCCTTATCAACCTAACTCTGCTCCTCCAGTTTTCACCACTCCTCGTCGCATCTATAGGCACGCTCCGAGTACCTTCGTCTGGCGTGTATCGTTCAAGAGGCATTACAAGGAAGTGAGCCTACGGGACACGTATCTGATATACGTAACCTTCCCAACATCGTCCGCAACAACCTCGATGCGCTAGCCGCCTTGGAGGAGTCGGTGAGCGTAGCGTTCATGTTCTCATCGCTCTTGGCACTCATGATACTTTACAGATTGAGGATTTGCTGGAGAAAAACCATCACGTTACCATGCGTCTGGAAGGCTTTTGACCGCGTTGTATCCGGCATGTATAGATGGGTATCCGAGTGCGCCAGAGCTGGACCTACCTTGTATTATATATTGTGTGACAGGAGAGTCATGGTATCTGTTTTTTTCCATTCCCGTCCGCAGCGCGCTTATGAATGCACCCGATGCATGATTGCGGCCCGCGGCCGGGAGGTCCACGCGTCCGACCGCCCGACATTAGGCCACCACTTCGGTACCGGTCACCTCTTCGCACGCGTACGCTTCCCTTTCAATTAAGCGACTACTCGCTATCAGAGCTCACGCGCTCACGGCGCCCGTATAGACTGAAGGCAAGATTTGGTTGCCCGCGATTTTTATGAAGCTCGTCCACGCGCTCAATTCACCAACAGCCCACCTCGCTCGACTGATGTTTGACCACAACAGCAGGCTACCGTCGAGCCTGTTGTCGGAATCCTGTCTAAGCAGATGAAGACGATGAAGACGACCGCCAAGATCGCCCAGTTCGCGACCGATGCGCATGAGCCAAGCGCACCCTCATTCGAACGGTTGTGCACGACGCGGGAGCGGATGGATATCGCGGTGCCATAGGTGGCGAAGATGGGGTCGTCCGCAGGAGGCACAGAACATGTAGGTATATGGACGTACAAGGTAAGTAGGCAGGGTGTCGGCCGCGCTTTTGCGTCCTTCCTATCAACTGCCAGCCGACCCTTTTCTGACGCGCGCCCGTCTTGCACGACTGGTAGTACGCACTGGTGATCACCGCGGGGGACGCGTACCCTCCGCGAATCTCCAATAGAGAGGCTATACAAAGACAGTATGTGCGATATAGTTATCGTTATCAAGACCTTTGAGTAGCTGGTAAACACTGAATTATCATCAAAGAAAGAACTGTGGTTTTATAGCATCGTTCGGCTACCGGTGTCAAGTACCTCAACATCTCCCCAAGGCGTCGGCACCAAAGCGGCATCAAAGGGCGGGCAATCGTCATTGCGGACGATACAGGGACAAGGACGGCAAAGCCTCGAAAGATGAACATACGTCCTGAGCGCTCAAGTCTCAAAGGGAACAATAGCGAGACTAAACCTATATAATAGGTCCGCCTCTCCGCAATTCTATGTACACTCCGAACCTGATACCACGTTCTACAATCTCCACTACGATGGAACTCGCAACTTCGAGGAGAAATATGTATGTAGCCGATACTTTCGCTCATTACGGCCGCTGACAACTGCATTTAGCCTGGTTTCTATGCAAGTATTCGAGGCGCGATACTCCGAAGCGCACGATACCCACCCAAATGAAGATTTCGCCGATGTGACTCGATCGGCAGATGCAACCGTACTTATCTGTCACACACGATTTGCGCAGGGTGCTTCCGCGGACAGAAGTTGGGTGCATATATTTGTTTCCAGACCAGAGTCTTACAGGCCTCCCCAGAGACTCTGATTATCCTGGAGCACGATTCCTTGCATGTCCTCTTCTGGCAAGTGATCACAACGGACTGGGACTTCTTCATGTGGGAGGTGAAAGCTACATCGTGTCCGCTGTGATTATTCTTACTGATGAACAGTTCACTGTCAGGATTTACATGAATGCCATTGGGCTATCGACGACCCAGTCGTCGAAAAGTTATATTGGCTAGAGTTTGATGAGGCGAATCAATTCCGTCGCTTCACCTCTAGCTTCCAGACCGCACTCTCAAAGTATGATAAACTTCCTTCATCCCGTGGAACGATGTACTTACATCGCGCATCCACACCAGCCGATAGAACGTGTACAGGGCTCTGCGCTCAGTGCTCGATGCGTGAGGGCTTTCGCCATCCTTCATCGCCGTACGCAATGTGCCCGCTTCGCGCAGGTTCCTCCAAACCGCGCACAATCCATGCCGAGGCGTTTCAAGACACGCTTTTCCGCTCTTCCACAGTGTACTCTTCCTTGTAGTACGCTACGGCTCTCCAAGCCTTTCGAATAAACGCAACGTCTGTACACGATTGGCACACTCGGATGGATGGCACAGGCGGCGCCTCAGAATATTGGCCGTTTGCAAACCTACAGAGGCATGCCAGATGGCACGGCGTTATAGGGCGACTGCAAGCGCTTATACTCACTGGCAATGTCTCCACGCCGCTCTGTCAATTTCTCTCTAGCCTCCCAGGGCCTGGCTGAGAATTTGTGTTACACCTCCATACATGGTATAGTATCTGCCTCCCCGAGGTGAAGCTCTCTCGACAATCCTCAGGCATCTATTTCTCCCAAGGGTGGATGTCCTCGTGACGGCGAGCGATCTTGCGCGTAAGCGATTGCTGACTTTGATCAGCGCACTAAACACTTAGCGTGCGAATCGGCTGATGCGTTCAGTTACAGTAGTCACGAGTAGTTATGCCTACTACGCGTTGTCTTCTCGTGGAGAACGTCGCGTACCCGCCCAGTAGCCCGGAGCACGTCTCGGTGAGACTACTTCCCCCTTTACTCCATTCACACTCCAGCTATACACCCGAAGCTGCGATTAGAAACCCAAAGCCTGGGCAATCGTTGAGTGGAGACCGCACAATGCCTCGGGTTCCATTGGATGTCCCGCTTCCTTGCGGACAGTACGTATTGGGATTTTCCTTATGACAGCAATGAATGCTCACATGGACGTAGCTCTCATGCAATTTCTGTCGCCATCGTCGATGATACGCTAGACGTAGATGGAGACGGAGAGCCGATGATAGTAGTAGATGTGGACGGTTGTGAAATGGCTACTGCGTGGACGACTTGTGAGTTCATTGTTTGCGGTCACTTGTATCCTGTATCTGGCGTTCTCACATATCCGGCGCTTTCAATCACGCTTTTTCAGGTATCGTCTCCATTTTTGCAACTTATATCGGTCGGCTGAGAACCGACGTGTGGCAAGGGATAGATCGGGAGGGTCGTCTCTGGCATACTCTGGAGGACGCGTACGCCCTGGTGGAGAATCTGGTCCTCCTACTCCGAGAATCCGAAGCGAGGCGTGCGGCAGCTACTAGAGAGTTGAGCATTCTTCGTCAATCACGGAGAAATGGCGAAGTTCACGGTCGAGATCATATGGCTATGCGTCAGTAGACTACTCCGTAATTCGCTAGTACCAATCCCCTTCCTACTACGGGAGTATACTCCAGCTATTCAACTCCGCGAGCTTCTCTAATGACAATCCGCTGACACTGGGGAAAACTGTGACAGTAGTTGCGCTGGGTTCACGAGCTGCTGCCTCGGAAGTCGAAATCCCTTGCGTCTGGGTCTGGTAGTACGAGACGCTGGTTTTTGGAGGGCTTTCGGCCATGATCGAAGTAGGCGCCTGAGGTTTGCCATCGCGTTTGAGTTGCATTCTAAAACGCGGAGCACGCCGACGTATATCAGAGATGTGCCGTACAATCAGGAAGAGTACATATAGTTTTTGGGATCTTGTAATGAGGTTCGCGCTGAAGGCGAGGTTTCTCGGGGTAATCGGGCATAGCTCCTGGCGCTTAGTACGGTCGGTCAGTGGTGCCAGCGACTACCACAGCGGCCTTCGCGTCGCGGCAGGAAAGCAATTTTCGAACTGCTTGTGTGCTATATGATCTTTTATGCGTCGTTGCATGCGGTGTTGGGGCCTGCAGAACGGCATGACCGATATGGAGACCCCTGCTCTTGAGCGTCTATTTCCCGATGGGGGACAAGAGCCCCGCGGTGCGAATTCGGGCCGATGCAGTATTTGCTTCACTTTGGTGTAGGCGCCATTGGGTGGGACAAACTCAACTTGCCTTTTCACGAATCACTCCTCCCAGTCGCTCACGACCATCATGGATCTTTTTCTTTCATCGTGGCCTACAATCCTCCGCTTTCGCGCCACCACACGACGGCTTGGGCCTCGTTCAGATCGCTATGACGGCCTGCTCGATCGACATATCTCTCTGAGATGTCGGCGGGCATCGCTCGAGCGTTGAACAAGCCCGGTTGTGCGCTGCGAAGTACTCCTCTCGGGCGAGTTCCCTTGACAAACCAACCGCGCTACCAGCACGGCTTCTTCGCTTTCGCGTCACCTTGGGCCTCGTTCAGATCGCTATGACGGCCTGCTCGATCGACATATCTCTCTGAGATGTCGGCGGGCATCGCTCGAGCGTTGAACAAGCTAGGTTGCGCGCTGCGAAGTGCTTTTCTAGGTCGCGGTAGCTTCAATGTGTCGAGCTGCGGCTGCCCCTCGTCATCGGTTTAGGCCCGTTGTGCATGAGACATATCCAGCCGGGTCGTAGGTTGGTTAATTCATCCTCTCCCCCTTCTTCTATCGTAGGGATCTTGCTCACCCCTGCACAGAAACACCCCAGATAGCTCAATCCTCTACAAATGCCCTTGCCTCATAACAATACACAAGATAACAATATGCAAGATAGCGAATGTATGCGGTAAGCGTCCGTTCTTTTTTGGGTTCGTCTGTTTCTGTGGTGAGTATACAGCCGTCTGTGAGATCGTTCAGAAAACGTCTTCCGCCTTTTCAGGGTTGGACAGGGCCTTGCGCCCATAACGCGCTCTTGAACATCTGCACGGTCTGCGAAGAGTATATACCAGACTGTGAGAGTGACTCTCACTGGGACCAACGACTCCCACTGAGAGCGAGTGGCAACAGTGAGAGTCACTGAGCCGAGAAACAATGTGGTCAGATCGCGCACGCGTCATGCTGCCGCGCTCACGACGTGTTGCGTTGCGCTCGTCGAGTACGAACACTGGGTGCTCTGCCCAACAGAGCAGTGGCTCCGCGCATGTCTGCAGACATACCTCGGGCTCGTTGCGCGCAGGTGCCAGCACGTGTGGTGCGGCGCGTTACGAGCGTTGTCTACAACATCTCCCCCGCCGCCGAGGAGCTAATTACTGCAGCCCGGACATGCTCGTTGGACTACATTCAATCGCGTCCGGATAGCCAGTGTCTTCGTTGGTTTATATCAAGTCCACACATCCAGTCCGACTGCATGACACGCACCCGAAGATGAGCTACACAAGCTTATCCGTGGTGCGTGGCTGACAGCTATACCCTCGGGATATGCCGGAGGCATTGCTCTCAGTAGGAGGGGGACCAACCAAAATGGTGGAAGCACCCATTGCGCTTTGCGCTTGCGACTACGAAGTCAGTTTGTGGTGTCTCTATTGATGGCAGTCTTTTGTGTCTCAATACCTGACAGACTGTACCCTATAGTTCGCTTGTCTCTAGGCGAATGCGAATGTTTCTATCGCCATCTAGAACGGCTCGCTTGACGATGCCTGGGTCTTGCACAAGAGCCATCTCCCTGAGTAGCTGGCTCGTGGGGCAGCGCTTACGCTTGCAATTGAGAACGGGCGGCTAACACCTGGACTACATCAACGGGCGTGCACTGTAAATCGATGCATGCACGCTTATCATATTGACAGCCGGGTGTCCGCGCTGCGATCGCGGCGCGAGAGCAATTGACCTTGCACGGGCCGCGACTCCCTGGACCATAGCCAGCTACCAGCTACCCATGAATCGCTCATTTACTTTTGTTCTCTGCCATGATTTGCCGTGCCGTCAGCACAGCTTCTTCGCCCGCGCATCATCACGTTACGGCTCAGGCTTTGTTCAAAACGCTGTAGGGGCTCTCCCGTCGAGTGGTAGAAAGGAGCGCGACTGTAAGCATTCGCTAGTCTGATTGGTTGTTCGGACCAGCGACTCCCCGTTCATCCGTCCTTTCGACGTAGTAAGGCTGAGTCGCGTTGTGAATATTCCGGACTCGTGATGCACGTCACCCCTAGTGCACACGTTATGGGGTCCGCCACCGTCAACGTTGCATATATGTACGTTGGAAATGTCTCTGAACCGCGATCGGTGCAGCGGCATGGTAGATCACACTCCCAAGGTTCATATGTCCTGCGCCTATTAGGGCGCCAGGATGTGTAAACTTTGGATGTTGGCACATAATCGCGCCTTAGGAAACGCCTTAGCCCCAAGCCTTAACCCGTTTCGAGCCCGAACGTCCTCGCTAGCGCCGCCTCGGCCCGCGGGCGACCTGCGAGCAACATGTCTCTAAATTTGCCCTCGCCACTCTCTTTACTCCCGCCCGCCTATTATCGACCCTTGAAGTTCAACACACTGGTAGGTAGTGGAAACTAAGGCCTTGTTGGTGTTGCTCGCACGGGAACAGCGTATGACAGCGTGGGCCACAGATGGACCGCACAAGAGGCTGAACGCGCGTAATCACGCTCAACACGAAGGGCGTGGCTTGGCGGGTAACACAGTCGGAGGGTACTTAGCGGGGTGGACGCGCTTGCGGATTCCGTGATAGCTCGAGTGGGCCATGCACGGCCGTGTGCACGCATGGGGAAGCTGATCAGGGCTCGCATGAGGGCTCAGCGCAAGTGCAAGCAGCTCAAGACGGACATCACCACTCATACGTCCCTCATACGCAATCAAGAGCGTGTCGCAGCCCGCCGGGCCAAGCACGTCGTACAGGAGGCCGCGAAGGCGGAGCGTCTGCGCGCGGAAGTCGCGCAGAAGCAGAACGCGCTCTACAAGCTTCATTCCCGCCTAAGCGACCTCGAAGGTCGAAGGTTCGCGAAGGCCCGCAATGTGAGTCCATACGACCCATTCTCGCACTTCAGCCCGGTCTCGCACGTCTCTCATTTGGTGCTGATCGCTCGTTGCAGGGCGCATCCCCGTCGCAGCCGTCCCTTATCAGTCGCATGGCACGACGCGGTGAACGGTCCTCCAGCAAGACCAACCCCCAGAGCACACCAGATGTCGGGGTCTATGTCTACGGGACATCGACGT